GGCAAACACTTTTCTTTTGCCAAAAGTGCCATAGTTTATGTAATAACCAGGCAGATCATGGTGATCTTAGTTGTGAATAGGGATGTAAGAACTAATTTAACCAGTTACACCAATAAGCAGTTGCTTATTGATTATGTCATGGTTAAATTCTTCTGTCCCGCAGACGTGTGCCAGCTCTCGGCTGCCGGACCTCCTCCTGGGGAGCCAGCTGCACTGCAGGCTCTGAAGTATAAGCCTTATATTGCAGAGCCTATAGTGCGGGGCGGCAGATTGCGCCACGGGAGCACCCCTCCAGCATCCTTCCCTCCCTGGTCCCACCTGGCCATAAACAGTTAACCATGTAACCACTAGGATTTTTAATAGTTATATGGTTACTGTTTTTAAATCTTTTTAACATCCCTAGTTGCAAAGCTCTTAGATATATGGGGACTTCACAAAACAAATCTAAGTAGACATTCAAGTTTCCATTCACATATTTATAGAATCCAAGATAAGGGTGCTGAATGACAAAGCAAATTTAAGCCTATGTAATCTATCTATATATTTTAGAAATGTGCATCTGTCTTTGAGTTGGTTTGTTCAGGAACTCATCTCTGAAAGAGCTAGAGCCACCAAATTTGGCATGCAACTTCCTCTAATCCTAACTTAAGAAAGGTCAGGGTTTGGTTGTGCCAAGAAAATGGGAGGTTCTCGGTATGGGACTGTTTTCCATAATCTGAAAAAGGATGGGGCAGAGAGAGGAGGGGCGTAAAAGGGAGGGACACAGTACTAAGAGTGGCTCACTGGGTGCTGCGAACACAGAGAGAGCCATATGCAGGAGTGGCCACTGGAGGCAACCACACCACCAAGAGAGTGGCCAGCAGGGCTGGGGCTCCACTATCGTGCCTGCCACTAGACTGGGTAAGTAGCCTCCAGCCCCAAAACCTTCCCCCCCACCCTGGGTTGAAAGAAAAGGTTACACTAGGTGGGGGGGAGAGAGAGACAGAGCCCTACTGGATGATAGCCCCCCCCCCCCCCTCTCACCCCCCCCCCCCCCCTCCCCCCCCCCACCCCCAGCCTCTTGCTCTGTCCCCTCCCCCCCATCCCCAAGGCCCTCCCCTAACTCCTGCCCCCGCCCTTCTCCTGCCTGCCCCCTGTCTTGAAAGACCCAGGCAATGCTGGGTAAGTCCTTTAGTGCATCTTTAATAAATTCCAACCCACTAAATTAAAATTCTAACCCATTTCATAAATTGCATAGGTGAATTGTTTTGTTTTAGCTTAGATTAATCTAACTTTATTATACAGAACAGCAAACATTGCAGATTCAATTGACCATGAGAAGTTACAATAACTGGAAGTAATAATAATCAGTACAAAAGCTATCTGCAGATAGCTAACAGTTAAAGTGAAATCCTCTCTCACCAACTGACATACAAGTAATACTAATTTTCATTATTTTATGGGAGAACTTGTGTTTTATTTTCATTTATAATAAATACTTAGGAAAGAACCTGTATCAGGTAAGGCAGATGCCTTTGCTCTGAAGTAAAATAAAATTGTGGCTACACGTCACCCTAAAACCAATGTGTAATGAACCTGAGATTAAATTAAAACCCAGCATCCCTTCCTTTGATAACTAATAATAAGTGTTCATGACTAAAATCCATCTTCACTCTCCCCATCTACGTGGCCTATAACACAGACCCATCATCTGACTTACAGCAAATTTAAGGACTTGAAGAAAGTCTAAATCTCATCCTAACAGTGTTTTCCTTTCTGTTCCTGGAAACTTTCAGCGTCTAGGGGTGCATTTTGATGACTATTCGGGAGAATCATTTTATCAAGAGAAGTCCCAGGAAGTTCTGAAGATGTTAGATTCTAAAGGACTCCTTCACAAAACAATGTAGGAAAGGTTCTTTTGTTTTCATTATAACAATTTTGATTTTTTTTAACTCTTTGCTATTGTTGCTGTGGGGGACATATATATCAAAATAAATATGTAGCTCAATATTGATGTTGTTTTCCTTTATTATGTGGGAGAACCTAATCTTCTCCAAGTACAGTCCTTGTGGGTGCTCCACTCAAGTATCGATGCGTCCTCACGTTGGTGATTGGAGAATTTTGCTTAGCAGTGCCTTCCCATGTCACGCACACACAGGATCCATCTCACACTGTTTTCGTCCATTGGCTGCACATGCGGCACGGGTCCCCTCAGTTCCTTTTCTGCTGTCTTCAGCAGAAGATGGAGTCTCCAAGCAGTGCCTTTCTGACTGAAAAGAAAAGGAAAGATTAGTTTGTTAGCATTGTTAGGGATTTTAGTAGTTCTTAGTTAGTTGTTACTTAGTTCTAGTTCATTTAAAAAAAAAAAAGTTCTGCCCCGTTTTTTTCTTTTTTTCTCATCTTAGTTCTTCGGATCCCAGTTTTTCTTCTTATCGTGCCAGGTTCCTCCAGCTTTAAGAAGTGTGACTCCTGCAGGGACTCGATGCCCTTTTTTGACGGGCATACTTTCAGAATAAAATGTCTGGGTGAGGACCATGTGGTGCAGAAATGCCCACGTTGCCAAAACATGACAGCCAGAGTGAGAAAGGGCTGGGAGACGAGGCTTAAAAACCTCCTATAGAAGAAATCCCTTCAGCCGCTGGAGTCAAAGTCTAGCAAACCTTTGCAACCACCAACTCCGGACAAAACGGCCAATACATCTCCTATAAGGGACTCCCTCAGGTTCCAGGGCTCTCCGGCTTGGTCCTTGCCTTCAGCATCTCTTGCCGGGCATTCACCGGTGCTGTCTATCTCCAGCACTGTGGAAAAGCAAAGAATGGTACCTCCAAAAAGGCGGAGACAGAGCCAAAGAGAAAATCCAGCTTCTCCACACCATCCGGGATGGCTTCTCGCCTAGCACCGACCAAGGCAGTCATGCTGCCACCGCTAGTGTCGATGGATGCATCAGCACCAGTGCAACCTTCTGACTACTGCTGTCCACCAGCACATAAACATATACCAGCACCAGAGGCAAAGCAGTCTTACCAGAAAAAGATCCGCACGCAGTACCAAACACCACAGCATCAGTTCACCTCCCCACTCTCCTATAATTGTGGAATTAGACCCACACCAAAGCTCTTCAGAGAATGTTTCTTTCTCGCCTAAACCATTGTCTCTGGGCACCGTACATGGCACCGCTCATGGGAGCAGATTCTCCTCCCAGCACCCTTCTCCAACAGGTTCAGTGGCATCGTACCATTCTACTAGGAACTATCCAACACACCATCTGCCACAGTACCCGGGATTTAACTACTGTTGGCCATATCCACCACAACTGTTCCAACCCCAGTGGCCACCTTGGTAACCCTGGAAACAATATCACACCCACTCCTCACATTCATCGTTCACATGAATCAGCAGTGGCAACCCAGGCACACTCACATTCTCCTGCCACCTCCACACAATCTTCCCTGTCCCACCATCCGTGCTCACCTTCTGTGGCCACTCAAGCAGATCCTGTGGATGAGGATGACTTGCCTCACTTGGACTCTGATAGCCAATATCCAGTCTCTGCTCGGACTCTGATAGCCAATATCCAGTCTCTGTCTTCTTCATCTCCGGACAAAGCTGTTTTCCCCTCATCTTTCTCCTTCTACAGATGATATGAAACAATTTCAGGACTTATTCAAAAGGGTGGCACAATCCCAAGACAGTGCACTGCAGGAGGTACAAGAAAAACAACACAAGTTACTAAAAATTCTACAACCTACCACATCCTTCAAAATAGCTTTACCAATAGATGAAGCCATCATGGAACCCCATCAGAGCCAATATGGCAAACATCGGCCTCTATTCCTCCCCCTAATTGCAGGACGGATAGAAAATACTTTGTCCCAGCTAAGGGGATGGATTTTTTTTTCTCCCACCCCTATTCTAATTCGTTGGTGGTGAACTTGGTCCATCATCACTCTAGGCAGCCACAATTTAAATCCATGCCCCAAGACAAGAAGCATAAGCAGCTGGACATTTTTGGGAGAAAAGTATTCTCCTCTGCCACTTTGCAATTCTGCATCTCCAACTAAACTGCCCTCCATACAAATTATACCAGACTTCAGGAGCTCTTAAATAACCTCCCTAAGCAAAAGATGTCCCAGCTCCAGTCCGTAATGAAGGAGGGCCAGTCAATAGCACGAATAGTGCTGCAGGCATCCAGGGATGTAGCAGGTATGGCACCTAGAACCATGGTGACAGCAATAGTTATGCACTGCACATTGTGGCTGCAATCATCTGGCATCCCATGGGAGATACAAAGGTAGAGGACCTCCCGTTTGACAGAAACCAACTCTTTGTTGCGAAAATGGACAGAGTCCCTCGCTCAGTGAAGCACCCACGCACTAACCTTTGCACATTAGGCATGTACACACCACCTGATAAGAGAAGAAGGTACACTCCCTACCAGAGACCGAGGGATACCTCCTACCATAGAAAACAGCAAAGATCATTCGATCATAGGTCTGAACAACAGCTGAACAGAAGAAGAGCGCAGCACAACCAGTCATCTGCCCCTCAGCTGCGGACAGCAAAGCAGCAAATTTGAAAATGTGGTCAAAGGTCTAAGCGACCACCCCATGAAACCAGTTCATGCTACTTGCATCTTTTACCACTACCTGAGGCCCTTTTCCCACCAATGGGACCTTATTACTATGGACCAATGGATCCTCAAAATCATCAAAACAGGCTATACTATCTCCTTCCACACACCCCTCCCTGTCCCTTTTCAGGGACCCCTTTCATGAGTTCCTTCTACAAACGGAGGTACAAAAACTACTCAGCTTGGGGGCAATAGAGATGATCCCTACTGAATTCCACGGAAGCGGGTTTTATTCCACCTATTTCCTCAATTCCAAAAAGACAGGAGGTTGGAGGCCCATTTTAGATCTCAAAGCTTAACAGGTTCCCCGCAACCACAAATCCAGGATAGTGACTTTAGGAACCATTATACTGCACTAGACAAGGAGGACTGGTTCTTAGCCCTCAACCTTCAAGATGCATACTTCCACATAACTATCCACCCTTCATGCAGGAGGTTTCTCAGGGTTGCAGTAGGCACAGTCACCACCTGAATCAAGTCCTTCCCTTTGGACTATCCACAACACTGCGCATATTTTCCAAAACTCTGGCCATAGCGATTGCATTCCTAAGAAGGCAGGGGGTCATCATGTTCCCCTACTTCAATGATAGTTTAATCAAAGGTACTTCATGACAACAAACTCTAATCATGACAAACATGACCAAGGACGTTTTCTCCCACGTAGGCCTACTCATAAACATTCAGAAGTGCACCTTTGAGCCTACTCAGAAAATAAAGTTTATTGGGGCATCCCTGAATAGCCTGATGGCCAGAGCCTCTCTTCCCCTATATTGCTTCCAAACCTCATGCAACCTCTTACACAGTGTGCTCCATGCCCCTTTTACAACCACTCACACATGCTTTCAGATCCGGGGTCACATGGCAGCTACCGCCCTTGTGGTACAGCTTGGCTGTGTCCAGACTCAGGGTTTTTTTCGGGAAAAGTAGCCTTTTTCCGAAAAAACTTCACCTGCGTCTAGACTGCAGCCGCGTTCTTTCGAAATTAAATCGAAAGAATGCAGCTTTTCTTTCGACGGCGGTAAACCTCATTGCACGAGGAAGAACGCCTTCTTTCGAAAGTGCTCTTTCGAAAGAAGGCGTTCTTTAATGTAAATAGGGCTTCTTCAAAAGAGAGCATCCAGACTCATTGGGTGCTTTCTTTCGAAAAAGCGGCTTGCTTTTTCGAAAGTTCCGCATGCAGTCTAGACGCTCTCTTTCGAAAGAGTATCTTTCGAAAGAGGCTTGCAGTCTAGACATAGCCCTTGCGAGACTATGCATGCACTGCCTACAGACATGGCTAGCATCATTTACATTCCCAATCAACACAGCCTTGCCAAACATCTCACACTTCTGCCATTAGTGCTGACATCACTGCAATGGTGGACTCTCCACACAATTTCCTCACTGGAATGCCTTTCATCGCCTGGATCCATCAAGGGTAATTACTACAGAAGCATCCCTAATAGGGTGGGATGCCCAATGTAGGAAACAGACAGTCCAGGGCAGATGGTCACACCACAGGGAAATGAGGCTTCACATCAACATATTAGAACTCAGGGCGGGTCACAACACATGCATGCATTTCCTTCCACTCATCTGAGGCCAGACCATACGTGTCCTCACGGACAACTCACCATGTATGTTCTATAACAGTCGGCAGGGGGTGTCCAATCACGCTCACTATGTGACGAGGCAATAAAGATCTGGAACTGGTGCACGAAGACCCAACATTACACCAATGGCAATGTACACACCAGATCTGTAGAACATCACGGCAGACAAAGTGAGCAAACACTTCTCCAAACAGCATGAGTGGGAGCTCAGCTTGAAGACTATCCTGTTTTTATTTCAGCACTGGGGATTCCCTATCATAGATCTTTTTGCGACAGCATCCAGTTGCAAGTGCCACCATTTTTGCTCCAGAGCGGGTCAGGGCAAGTGCTCAGAAGGTGATACCTTTACCATATCATGGACAGCTCTGCTCTTATACACATTTCCACCGATTCCCCTGTCTCCAGGGTGATCAACAAGATTCGCGCGGACCGTGCAACGGTCCTCATGATTGCTCCTTATTGGCCAAGACAACCATGGTTTCCATACCTCTACCATCTCTCGATTGCCTAAATGATTTCCCTCCCCATCACTCCCCACTTGCTGACCCAACATCAAGGGAAAACTCATCACTGCAAGCACTCAAGATCACCACATGGCTTTTCCCTGGTTCCAAAATGAAGAACTTACCTGTTCCGAGAGAATAAAGTAGATCCTCCTCAATAGCCGATGTCCTTCAACAAGGTATACCTACCAAAAATAAACGGAGATGATTTCAGGAATGGTGCAAGCAACGTCAACTACAACCACATACCACCCCGATACCTGCCATGTTAGAATACTTGATGGACCTCTTTGACGAAGGTGTCTCTCTGTTCCCTATGGGTCCACCTTTCCGCCATCACCATCTTCCACAGTTTGGTGAATGAATTATCTGTGTTTGCCCATCCAATCACAAAGTGTTTCCTGGCAGGTTTATGAAAGAAACACCCGCACTTACACCCTCCCATACTGCACTGGGATTTGAACCTTGTGCTGGGCACATTAACAAGACCACTTTTTGAGCCACTGGCAACTGCTGCCTCACAACAGCTGGTCATGAAAGTGGCCTTTATTGTTGTGATCACATCCGCCAGGCTGGTAAGTGAAATCGCAGGTTTTATGGTGGACCTCCCATGTACCATTTTCACCAAGAATAAGGTTATCCTCAGGCCTCATCCAAAATTTCTACCAAGAGTTAGATCTGAATTCCATAACAACAAACCCATCCATTTACCTGCCTACTATCCCAAACCTCTGAGTTCTCCCAGGGAAGCGATGCCACACACCTTGTCTGCAAGGCGAGCACTTATGTTCTATATAGACGGGACCAAGAAATTCAGATGATCAAGGAGACTTTTTATTTCTATGTCCGGTCCCCACAAGGAAACAGCAGTCTCTGCACAATGTATTTCAAAGTGGATTGCAAACTGTATATATATTTCGTACCAACTTCAGAATAAGGACCCACCTCAGACAATCACCGTACACTCCACGTAGGCAACAGCCACATCAACTGCTTTTTTGCATAATGTGTTCCTTGCTGACATCTGCAGGGTGGCCACATGGTTCTTACATCACTCCTTTGCACAAAATTATGCGCTACGGTAAGGACCAATACCTATCACTTTCGTAGCTGGCGCATTCCTTGCCTCTTCTCATCTATAACTCAAAACCCACCTCTGCAAGCAGCCGGTATTGCTCTGTAGTCACCTGAGTGGAGCACCAACAGGGACGCTACTTGACAGAGAAGTTACTCGTCTTGTGCAAGTAATGATAGTTCTTTGAGATGTGTGTCCCTGTGAGTGCTCCACTACCCTCCCTCCCTCCCTGTTATTTTGGAGTCCGTTATAGGAGTTCTGGTAGAAAAGAAATGGAGGGGGCCCATGTTGTGCATGCAGCCAACAGATGAAAATAGTGTGAGATGGTGACATTGCATGCATGACGCAGGAAGACATTCCTAGGCAAAAATCTCCAATCACCAGCACAAGGATGCATCAGCACCTGAGTAGAGCACCCACAGGGACATATATCTCAAAGAACCATTGTTTTACTACACAAGGTGAGTGACTTCTTCTTCCTCTTCCTCCCAGCTAATGTAGAAGTGGAGTTGCAGCAAAAATTAGGCACAGTGAAAGAGTTTCATATTGGGATGGAAAATGGTTTTCTAGACTAATTACTGGAATCACTATGGCCGGTTATGATGTTTATTAGACATATAATACCTAGTGGTATATGCTACTTAATACAGTAAAACTCCATTGGTCCGGCATCTGACGGTCCGGCACTCCTGATGGTCCGGCACCATCAGGAACCCGGAAGTGCTCTGCAGCCGGACCATTGGAGCTGCTCTGCCTCCAGCTTCCCCTATTCAGCTGCTGCTAAAACTGACCAGCGGCTGCCTTGGGGAAGCCCGAGGCAGAGCAGCGCGGGCGGCGCAGGGGG